TTGAAGTTGACCAATTGTTACTATAAGCAATTAATGATTATAGATGATCTGCACCGTAGAATTATTTTACCGATCAAGATTAAAGATAGATTAAAGATTGTTACAGAAAAGTAAAAAACCTTTTTATATATCCGAATTTTTTTTTTGTTGTCCTTTCAAGGCATTAATTTTTTTTAAACATAGTACGATGCAAAAAGTAGATTAATTCACCATATAGTAATAGTAAATATATTAATATCATTTTTTTTTTAGTAAATAATTTTTTTTTTACAGATGATATCCTTAGCAATACTTTGTATTTCATAAAAAACTAATTTTCCTTGGAAAAAATTTTTTTATTTATTTTTGGTATATGCTCTTTACATTGTCTACTAAATCGTCCCACTATATATACATACATAATTATAAAAATGAACCAAATTCAAGTTCAAATATTTCAAACATACCTGAAAACTTCTAGCTTCTTAATCTAATAGTTTTATTTTTTAATTTTAAATTACTGTGTCAACATGATTATGAAATTATATCTGGTTTTTGAAGTATTACTATTACAAAAAAATAGAAGAGGATGAAGAGGATGGATGAAATTTGTTCTAGTTTATCATGAAACTGTATTTGTTCAAGTATTTAACAAGTGTTGATAGGTGATATATATGTGTTTTTAAAGAAAAAAAATTTTTAAATGAATGTTTGGGGTCAGAAGAATGCGCCATTAAATATTATTTATGAGAAACTATTTTCTCACATACTCTGTATGTACACGATCAGAAGGTGGAGGAGGATGTAGAAGGAAATAAAAATTGTAGATGGTAGACAATATGCAATGCAATAAACAATAATAATTTATAATATTCTTACATAATTTTTCATCAAATTATACTAATTATACTTAATTCTTGCCGATTACAATATTATTATAAGAACTAACAAACTATGCTTCGCGTCACAAACTATATGTCTTGTGTCACGAATTATGCCCCGCGTCATGAATTATTGCTGCTTCAGAAGACCCTTGATTATTACTTGGTTAAATGCCAAGGTTTTCTTTATTTACCATTCAACAAAAATTTATTAATTATAGTTGTTGTACTAAATATAATAAAAAACATATGTTAAATTAAAAATAGCAAACATACAGTATATTTTACATTTAATTTTATATTTTCTTTTATAGTTATCCTGGTGAGTTTAGCTATTGCAGAAGGAATGTTATTTTTAACCGTTTGGGTCATATGATTTTATAGTGTTGTGGCTAAAAATAATGTCATTAATACTATAATCCTTGTTTATATGTCTAGTAAATTATAACGCAAGCAAGAAAAGAATAATCTAATTGCTGTAATACCTTTTCTAATACTAAACTTGATAAAATCAACTGTTGATCTCTTTTTTGTAACGTGAGAAATAATATCATTTCTCAATCACCTTGCTATCTTCTCTAGCAAGCGTTTGCCTGAAAATCACTTCATATTAATATAATCAACACTGCCTATAACCGATTCACGTGATCTGAAATAAAATGCTGAATCTAAAATAAAAATTTACTATTACCCGCCTGTAATCGCAAAATAAAAAAATGAAAAAATAAAAAATATTGTCTATAAAAATCCAAAAAAAAAAATCAAAACAATTATTTGAAATAAATGACATAAGATATGATGTAATGAACTAAAAGTAATGATGATTTGCTGAATGAAGAAGAAATAATTTCTATGTCGAATTTTAATGAAGAAAATTAGGATGAAGACATTCGAAGAGACGTCTCCTATTTAAGTCAAGATGCTTTATTGGCTATTGAAAAAGTAAACTTGTTTGTTTGAACAACATTTTAAGGAATTTACAAATGAGGAATTGAAACAGTGAAAAAATCTCAAAAAGAAAATTAAAAAATAGAATTCAATTCAACAAAACAATATACTGTATATTGCTGTTTTTTAAATATTAATATTGAATAATATTTTTTTTATTCCGCACGACTTAATGTAGTGCAATTTTCTATACCGGATTCTCTCTATAACGGACAAATTTCCTGGTCCCAATGATCCGTTATAGACGGTGTGGACTGTATGTGGGTCAATCCGAAAATATTCGTGAATTGTTTGCTGAAGCGGTAAAAGAATACAAGGACAAACGCAAAGATTCCAGATTACATATTACAATATTTGGTGAATTAGATTCTATATGTAAACAATGTAGCAGTGTGGAACTGATGGAACTGGTGTTGGTGGAATAGTATAAATCAATTGCTGGCAAAGGATATTTTTTTAAAATGATAACAGTGATAATAATTGTTATTGATATAAAAGATTAAATTGGGAAATCATATATTCTTTAATATAGATTGATGGTGTTGAACAACTGAATAATATGCTAGTCATTTGTATGACTAATCGATTGATGAGGCCTTACTTCACTCTGGTTAGTTTTAATTTATATAAAAAGAAATGTAATAATAACAATAATAATAACAACAGTAATAAAGGCTTTTTTATAATGATGATTCTTAAAAGGTTGTTTGGAAGTTCATATGGAAATTGGCTTACCAGATGAACAAGGAAGATCACTAATATTAAAAATTCATACTTCAAACAAATTGTTTTGTAAATAATAATTTATTTACATTTTAAATTTTAAACTATAGATGAAAATAAATGATATTTTAGATAAAGATGTTAATCTTGAGGAATTAACTAGTTTGACTAAAATTTTAGTGGAGCAGAAATCAACGGACTTGTTAAGAGTGGTAGTTCATTTGCATTTAGTAGACATGTCAAAGTAGGAGTAATGCAAGATGTTGAAGATATGAAAATAAATAGAAATAGTTTTCTAGCAGCATTGAACGAAGTACATCCAGCTTTTGGTGTCAGTGATGAAGAATTGCAACAGTGCATCCAAAATAAAATTATTCAATTTGCATCACATATTGAGGTAAAGAATTAAAATATAATCAAGTTTTTAATATATATATATATATATGTATATTTCTTAATAGTGTTATTATATAATTTTTTTTTTGTTTAGGGGATATTGTCAGGTGAACAGCTTTTATTGAACAAGTTAAAAAAGTTACAAAACTCCGCTTGTTAGTGTTTTGCTATATAATATAGGTAGTATTTTTAAAGTTTTAACAGTAATATTATGTGTGATAATATATTTAAATATATTTATTTTATTTAATATATTATTAGGACCCTCTAGCAGTTGTAAAACAGCATTGGTAGTCACAATGGCAATGGCATCAGAATTTCCTTTTATCAAATTAATTTCACCAGAAAGCATGGTTGGATATTCAGAATCAGCTAAAATGATTGCAATAAATAAAGTACTGATTGATTTTTTTATTTATTTTGCTTATTAGAGTTTTTATGATATGGATAAAATAAATTTTATGATTTATGTGGGCATTTAACGATTCTTAATCACCTTTAAGTGTCATAGTTGTGGACAGCATTGAGAGATTATTAGGTGTATTGACTGACTAATTATAAAATTTTAATATAAATATCCTTTATTAATCCATTATTTTTAAAATAAAAAATTTGTGTATAGATTGGGTGCCTATTGATCCAAGATTTTCTAATTCTGTCTTACAAACACTATTAGCTTTACTCAAAAAAAGACCACATAAAATAAGTAGCCATTAATAAATAGATCAATACATACGTGCTTATGTTAATACATATGCATGTATATATAATATTTTCAATAAAACATCTCTTCAATCAATCAATCAATCAATCAATCATTTTAGGGTCATCCTCTTTAAATTTTAGCCACTACCAATGAAAAGTCAGTTCTTCAAGAAATTGATATGTCAGATTATTTCAATTCTGAAATTGAAGTACCAAATATTGCTGATTTGAGTTCAATTGAAATTGTAATAATGATGAAAGAGAGCAAACACTCAAAACTTTTAAACAAAATCACCTTATTCAAATAAATGTTGGTATTAAAAAACTATTGATGATGATAATTGAAATGAGTAAAGATGTTGACAAAGTGGATAAATTTGTTATTACTATTATGTGTTTTAATTTTATTAAATTAATTTATTTTTTAATCGGTATTTTTATCATCATTATGTTTAGTTATGTTGTATAAATCACTTGCAGTGATTCCTTTTAGATCGAACCCTTTCATTTTTTGTATTTCACCTTTTTCCAAATTTTCCAATTCTGCTGCCTTTTCTTTAATAGTTTCTCTTAATGATGAAATTTCTTTTTCAAGATTTTGTTGTTCTAAAATGAATAAATTCAAAAAGAAATTTAGTTTATAATACAAATAATGTATGTATATATATATATATATATATATAAAATAAATATATGCACACAAACCTTCCTGGATGTAAGTTTTTACATTTTCGTTTTCAAGTTTTAAGAAAAAATTTCCAAAATTAGCCCAAACTTTATCTTCATTTTTAAGTTCTTTTTTTAGTTTATTTAAAGCTTCTCTGTTGGTATTTCTTGTTCGATCATAATCGATAATCTGTACATATATACACATAAATAAACATTAAATTATTAAAACGTTGAATAATGATCTATTTTTTTTCTTTGGTGGATTATAATAATACCAATTGCTCATTTGTTAGAATAACTTCAGCTATTTTTTCTCGCTTTTCTAAAACTATTTTTTTTTAACTTGTTAATACAATGAAGAGAACTTTAAAACGTCAAATCAACATTATTCTTATTACTTGGAAGCAAATCCATCAATCTCAAATTTGTAAAAAGAATTTGCAACCTCGTGACAGTAAAATCATTGATATTTGTGTAGATCGAAAAAGTCGGAATTTTTGTTAACGCTAAATAAAATTAGTATTAACCAAGTACAATCAACCCTCCTCCACAAGCACACCCTCTATAAATGCATCCTATGTCTCACTCATTCCCAAGATTGGGACTTGGGATATTCCCGTGAATTTCAGGTGACTAATATGCAAAAAAATTTTTGACGAATAAATTTATTGGGACAACTGTACCAACATAATAATTGGATATTTTATAATAACAATCAATACATATTGTTGATTATAAAGAATCAAATCAAATATCAGGATTCAAAAAAGTTCTATACAGTCAAAGCCTGTTAAGTTCATAGGTTTGGCATGGTGAATTTTATGAATTTATTGAATTATGTCAGTATCTAGGGTTGCTCTTTAATCTCATAATATTAATATATACTGTATATATATGAAATTGGTCAAACTATTATTAATAGTATTATTTAAAAAAAATTTATTTATAGGATTTAAATGGTCTATATATATAATGATAAAAAATTTTTGATTCTAATAATCTCCTATTTTATTAATAATCATGCACAAACGATTTTTGAGCTTCCAGTAATCAAGAACGCGTCACTTGGATGGTAAGATAATCAATCTTGTGCAATATTACAATTGGGTATCCTTTGGTGTGTGTCTGCCATCATAATAAAGGTTCTGTTTCTTCATCTTTCTGTAATGCAAGATAATGATCTAAATGTGTTGAAGAAATTTGTTATGACAAAGTTGTATGAAAATCAACAAGTTGCACTTGTGTGGTAGATGATAATAATCTTCTTAGATGAGATTGTGTATTGGAAGGGTGCTCCTGGTAAGTTTAGAGATTGGGACTGTTAACCGTTTAAATAGTTTTTTTAACAGCTGGTCAACCGTCAACCTTGATGTCGCAAATTTTTATTCTAACTAGAATACATATCAGTTATAGAAGTAAATACAAATACCAAAACATAATCTATATATAAACATGTTCAAAATGATGGAATTGATATGGTAATACGAATTCTTATAATTATTCATTATTATTATACTAATACAACTCAATCACTCAATCTTAATTCGTTTTATTTGTAAGATCTAAATTTAAAATTAACTGATGAATATTATTATTCATTTATTCGTTTTATTCTAATTGTTAGTTTATATTTATTTGGATTATTCGTTTTATTCGAATAAATTCAACATAATTCAAATATTCAAATTCATAACAAATAAAACAAACGAATTCTTATTCAAATAGAAATCATGCTACGACTATAATTTTTTTAATTGGATTGGATAATGCATGACTACAGTTCACTCTCTCTATAACGGCCCGCCTGATTTGCCAAAAAAAGCCGTTATAGAGTTTGCTGATCATAGTCATGTGATAAATTATAATGCGATACAATATATTTTTATACGATAAAATATTTAAAAAATAAATGAAATAAATGAAAATAAACTATTTATAATTTGCATATTTATTCAATATTAAAAAAGTTATCTAGTGTGGATTGTTGTT